CCAGTGTGGTGTAGTGGTTTGAGCATTAAACTATGACTCTAGAGTTCAAATCTTTACTTGGCAATGGAAACCCACTGTGTGACTTTGGGCAAGTCACACTCTCTCAGCCTTAGAGCAAAAAGCAAAAGCAAACCAGCTTATTTATATACCGCTTCATATCACACTATGGGATGTCTAAGCGGTTTACAACTGTGAGCTGATTGCCCCCCAACAAGCTGGGTACTCATTTTAGCGACCTCGGAAGGATGCAGGCCTGAGTCGAGCCTCAGCCCTGGCTGGTATTGAGGAAAGCAAAGGCAAGCCTCTGAACATGCTGCAAAGAAAACTTGGTTGATAGGATTGGCATAAGTTGGATATGACTTGAGGGCACACAAAAACAACATGATAAAGATAGCTCTTCTATAAACAAATGCATGTGCATTTTAGGAATAGAGTCCAATTAATGTAAATGGAGAAAATGCTGCATTCTGGCGGAATAATTGACTTCAAGCATCCATATCCACCTCCAGAAGTTGTTATATGTTAATCATTCTTCTCCCCCCAAAAAATCTTGCATATTGTTAGTTGCCCTGGGTAGAAAGTTCTTCTTAAATTGTCTTCATAGACAGAGCTGTTGGTCTGCATCAGTGTGCTAAGGGATCTTGTAGCACATTTAAGAGAGAGAGAAAAAATTACAGGGGTAGGGAACCTTTTTGAGCCGGGGGCCGGGTTGCTGTCGCTCAGACAATTGGGGGGGGGGGCAAAGCACAATAAATAAATAAAAATAAAAAATATGCATGCACACTCTCTCAGCCCCAGAAAAGCCATGGCAAAACCCTGTGGAGATTTTGCCAAGAAAACCCCAAGAACAAGTAATAACAACAATAATCAGTATCATCATGGCAGCGGGGGGCGGTGGCGGCGGCGGCGGCGGCGGCGGCAGGACCAGCCTGGGGCTGGTCCAAAGGCCTTGGGGGGGCCTTAGGTTGCCTACCTAAGCATAGCATTAGCTTTCATGGGCTGCATCCACACCGCAGAAGTAATCCAGGTTGACACTGCTTTCACTGCCATGGCTGAATGCTATGGGATTATGGGAATTGTGGTTGTGTGAGACATTTAGCCTTTTCTGTCAGAGAGCTACAGTTCCCAGGATTCCACATCACTGAGCCATGGCAGCTAAAGTGATGTCAAACTGGATTATTTCTGCAGTGCAGATGCAGCCATAGACTACTTCATAATATGCATGGAGTGGAGTGCATCAAATGCATTCCGTACATCTGTAGAAGTATAGAAAGGTTAGGCTACAAACTTCTTTCTCTCCATCTCACAGTGCTCCAAGATCTCATTGCATCTTAAATGGTCTGTTAACTTTCCTTAATCCAGCGGTTCTCAAATAGTGGGG